GCAAAAAAAAAAAAAAAACCCAAACAAAAAACAAAAACCTTATTTTACTTACTGACCCTATAAGTTCATCAATCCTGGGATTGCTATTTGGAGGAACAATCTGAATATAGACTAATGGGGGTTAGCCCATGGGCAGTGTAAGGCTGGAGGTTCCTCAGCAGTACCTTGCCAGAAAGGCCTGGATCGACTTCTAACAAGTTGGCCTTTGAAAAGAGCATTGACACAGTTCTACTCTGACAAAAGGAAGAAGCACATCAGCCTGTCCTGACTCAATCACTAAAGACAAAGCGGGTGCACAAGCAAATGTGGTGAAGAAAGCTGATGGTGCCCGGCTGTCAAAAGATATAGCATCTGGGGTCTTAAAGACTTGAGGATAAACAAGTGGCCATCTAGCTGAGAAACAACAAAGCCTACATGGAAGAAGCACACCAGCCTGTGAGATCATGAGGCATCAAAGACCCCCACACACAAAAAAAATCATAGCATTGTGAACGAGGGGGAGTACACAGTGGGGACCCAGGGCCTATCTGTGGGAAATTGGACATCCCCTTGCAGAAGTGCCCTGGGGAGGAAACGAGCCAGTCAGGGTGCAGTGTAGCAATGATGAAGAACACAATTTTCCTCTAGTTCTTGAATGCTTTCTCCCCTTCCGCTATCATGATCCCAATTCTACCTTACAAAGCCAGCTGGACCAGAGGATGTACACTGGTACAGATAGGAACTGGAAACACAGGGAATTCAGGATGGATGAACCCCTCAGGACCAGTGGTGAGAGTGGCATACTAGGAGGGTGGAGGGAAGGTGAGGGAGAAAGGGGGAACAGATTACAAGGATCTACATAAAACCTCCTCCTTGGGGGACGGATAGTGCAGAAATGGGTGAAGGGCAATGTCGGATGGTGTAAAATACGACAAAATAATAATAATTTATAATTATCAAGGGTTCACAAGGAAGGGTGGGAGAGGAAGGGGAAAATAGGAGGAATGGATTCCAAGGGCTCAAGTAGAAAGCAAATGTTTTGAGAACGATGAGGGAAACAAATGGACAAAAGTGCTTGACAGACGGATGTATGTATGGATTGTGATAAGAGTTGTACAAGCCCCCAATAAAATAAAAAGTGGTGTCACTAAATGTCTGCTAGAGGCATTTGTTTGTTCGTTTGGTTGGTTGGGTGGTTTTGAGTTAATAAGGCACGTACTCTTGTTTTTTAAAGAATTCAAATGCTTGCACAGTCCAGACAATCTTCACAGGTTTCTTGATAAGTGTGATAAAGTTGAACTGCTGGAACGTGTTCACTGGAACGTTTTGACTTGCATCAGTGAGCGAGGCCCGCACATCGGTATTAACAATTCACACCCAACTGGAAAAAATAAAGGTGACCTTCTCAGAAAGCCCTGGAGCAGTGCTCCCTGCCTTGAAGGGTCGCCGTGATCTGCATGGACACCATGACATTGAGCTTGAGCCCTTTGAAACTGGAGTCGAATCTTCATGTGAATCTGCCGTGAACATCTTTCCAAGAGAGAGGTTGTCACCTTTATTAGATCCCCAAAGAAGTCAGGGACCGCAGAGAGGGTAAGGACCCAGTTCTGTGTGTGAGTGAGTGTGTGTGTGTGTGTGTGTGTGTGTCTTCCACCTGTGTAAATGTCTGCATACTTCTGACTGGACGTTTTTAAAGTTCATCATCCAAAACCAACCCACTCGCCACGCTTGAGTCAATGCGGACTCGGCGTGACCCTGTAGGACAGAGTGGGACTGACCCCGTGGGTTTCCGAAGTCCAGTCTTAGACTGGACTGCTGGCGGTTTAGAACTGCTGACCTTTACGTTAGCACCTCGACTGGTAACCCACCACATCACCAGCAGCGGTATAGAAATCATGTTGCTAACTTCACAGGCTCGTTGTGGGAAGGAAGGAGTGAATATTGTTACACTGCCTGAGAATCGCACTTGAACGATAGTAAAATGTACTAACCCTTTGTGTGTGCTTCTGGGGGGTGCGCGGGGTGGGGCGGGGAGGGGGTGTCTCTGGCATTATGTGTGACCTATCTCTGATATCCTGCCTCAGCCTGAGGCCCATGGACTCCAAGGCTTCTGGGAAAGAAACCCAAATTGTATACCAAATGTGGGGGTACATGGGGAGGGATGGACATGAGGAAGGGGTGCATGGCTTCCCCTCCCCCCCCCCCAAAGAACCAACCCACTGCCATCAAGTCAATGCTGACTCACAGCGACCCCTGTGGGTTTCCCAGACTGTAACGGTTTCAAGGAGTAGAACACCCGGTCTTCCTCCTGCGGAGCTGCTGGTGAGCTTGGAGAGACACCAGATCACGGGGAGCCAGAAAATGAAGGCAGGGACACGGGGCCTCTCTCCTTTTCCATCAGAGATGGTTCATTGGCCAGCAATTCCCAAGGCAGACACATTCACAGCCTGGTATCTAAGGGAAGCTCCGGTTCTTTGTGGCAGACCTGAGAGACGATAGGAGCCTCGATGTGCTCAGGGGAATGCCTAGACTGGTTCTTCTCCTATAACTGGTTCTGCGGCTCAGGTCTTCCCTGGATACACCGATCGATGAATGCCTGCTGCCTCCCTCGCAAGGCACCCTTCCCATTCATGCACGCAGGGCTGGCCGCTTGGCATCATCTTAACACCCACTCTGCCCGGGTGTTTTCCTTTCTGCCTGCACCAGTCTGACTCCGCCTTTTTCTTGCCCATACTTGTCCTTGTCCCTGGTTCTTTTCTCTATGTCTGCTTTCTTCTTGCAGCTTGTTGAGCTCTCTGTTTCTGTCTGATTCCATTTCTCTCTCCATCTCTAAAGGTCTCTTGTCTCTTATGGCCTCTCTGTTTCTCTCTCTACTAGATCATTCTTGTATCTTTCTGGCTTTCATTCTGTTTCTCTTACTTTTCTCCCACTTCTACCCTCCCCATGTGCTCTCTCTCTCTCTCTCTCTCTCTCTCTCTCTCTCTCT